TGTAGCGCCTCAAAGAACGCCTTCTTCTCAAGGTTGTCGACAGGCGTGTACACGTTGTGGATGTAGATAGGAGCACCGTTTGTTATTACGGAGACAACCAAATATCGACATGGAACAGTCAGAGCCGACAATTTCGAAGCAGATCGGAATCCTGGAAAATCTGAGCGGAGCACAGTCATCACACCACCTGAGCGTGCGGTAGAAGCCATCAAGCTATGAGCGTTGGGGCCGCTGACGAACAGGCGATGCTGGAACGGGATTCGTGGCTGAATTGTAAAGTTGCGAGATTTTGGGCGTCGCGCAATTTCGTCTCTTGGACGCAGGAGAGACTGTTCTTGATGAGATGGTTTTCAATCAAGAGGTGATCACTCTTCTTGATCCCGTTGTTTATCGTGAGTATAAGTGATAATAGCCTTGGGTTTTTTTATAATCTGAACCCCTTCTTTGTACCTTGCGAGCGTGATGCAATCCCGTACAAAAGTCTCATACCCATCAGGATTAAAAAAAACATAGATTCGACCACCTCCCTGCTGCATACCCCCTTCGTTGAAACTTTTATTGTTAGATTCGTCGGGTGATAGCAAATATAGTTATTACTGGATAATGACATAGTAGCATCACCTGGCCATTTATTGTTAAACAAACAAGGATACGGCGTATCGAACTTAGCTACATCAGTGTTGTAGTCGCGTGGGAACCAATCGTTTTTATGCTCCGGATAGTGATTTCGTAGCTCAGATTTGATACAGTCTCGAAACGGATTGTCACAGCTGAAAGCGATATTAGTGAAATCAGTGTCCATCTCCTGATACTGGATGTCGAAGAGATCGAAGCAGAAATCTATGCAGCCATAGTTTAACTGAAGCATGCGTAGCTTGGCAAGCTGAGAAATAGCAACCGACAAATGGATTTGGTTCTTATTATTGAGTCGACGCTTCTTCATTGTGAATTTACACGCATCATTAAGCTCATCGGATCCATGATACGTAAAGTGTTCGATCTTGTTTTTGATAGCTTTGTCGCTCGACTCATACTTAGCCTCTTTGTGCTTGCTCATGTCCATTCCAACTCGACCAAAAGCATCTTTGTCTTCCAGTTTCATCGCCTTTGACTTATCAATATCGCCTTCTTGTTGAGCATTTGATCCAGCCTCCATAAAGGGGGTGAAAGCTTTGTGGGAGATGGCCTTGACAAAGCAGTAAGCCTTGGTTTTCTCCATACCATGAGAAATGTACCGCTTGAGCAAAGAAGTGTAGATAAGAATCCTTCCGCCGAAGTAACTGTCAATCAACTTGCGAGCTAGTTCTGCTCAACTTTGCTTGCACACCTCATTGTGATCGAGCACGTGTTTATTAATGACGCTCTCGTTCGTACTTTCGATCAGTACATTCTTGATAACTAGAGTTATCTCACCAAAGCACTGCTTGAGGTGCTCTGGTGTTCGAATATCACACTCAAG